GGTAACAACCATTGCTGTTTTGTTTTTGTTATGTTTTTTTTTTAATTTTTATTTGGGTTTATTTGTTTATTAGTTTTTTTGTTGTTGTTGTTTTTGGGGTTTTTTTTGTTTGGTTGGTTTTTTTTCCCCTCCCTCCCTCGCCCCTGCTGGCCGCGCGCCGGGTAGCGGGCAGGCGATAGCTGTCTCGCTGTGAACACGGGTTCGCCGCGTTTGAATCTGGCGCTGGGTCCCCGGGAACGCCCCCTGCCACATGGTCCTCTCGGACTCTCTGGCGAGAGCTGCCGGGTCCCTTCCCCCCTGCCTCGGCTCCCCCTGTCAGGGAGCCCCCGTCCTCCTCAGAAAGCCTCGAAAATGGAGGCAAAAAGCTCCGTTCTTGGCAGCAGAGAGTGCCGCTGTCCATATTATTTGCAAAGAGGTGTGTTTGTCCAGGTTTATCCTGAACATCCCTTCATGGTAAGACAATGAACAAGTTTTGTAGCTTCTCTTCGTTACACATATCTCCTCCTAAACATCCTCTTTTCAAGCCAGCTATCAGGTAGACCTATCATTCTCCTGCCTGTCCTCCTAAGTCCTGATAGATGATTTGTATACTACATTTGTCTAGATGACTTTTGTTAGGTCTCAAAATTCAATTTTCTTGTTTCTTACATGTACTGTTTCTGTTCTTCATGATACTGTTCCTTGTTCTCCATATTCTGCTCCAGTAACATCTGATTCTGCTGGCTCAGCATCTGAATCTGACTCAGGAGATGATGGTTTTCTTCTTCCAGATTTCCTTTTAGACGGGACAGCAGCTGTTAAACAAGATAAGATTATTCTCACCTCTGCATCTGGCTTCTCTGGAACAGCTACATAATTTAACACAACAGCACAGCAACCTAGGAATAGAAGTGATAAACTTCAAAATATATGGGATGTTATTATGACCACATAGCTTGACTTCCTATGCACAGTATACAAAAAAACTTTGCACAATGAATGTCAGCTCTCTAATAGGAACCCAGCAGTTATACCTGCCCATGGCTACTCACCTCACAGTGGTTATCCAGCTTGGTCAGAGAGATATCCATGGACTGGTGCTGTTCTTTCAGCTCATCATAGCGAGCCTGCCAGCGATTGAGCTCCAGCTGGGAGTTGTTCAAGGATGTTTTCAGCTCTTTAGTGTGTGAATGCAACCCTTCATACTCTGCCTTCAGTTGGTTGTGCAAGAAATTCACCCTAAACACAAAGAAGCCAGTAGGCTTGAAGGACACTTCACAGAATGCACCTCGCATTCAAAAACCACACCATGACTGTGCAGCTGTCACTAAATCAAACACTACGTTCCAAAGACTAACAAGACATTTTTATTCTAAGCATGTGACAAAATTTTATTTATAATGCTATTACTGCTTTCTTAAGTATTTCAAATACACAAGTATTGAAAGGAAAAAGAGATGAAACATAAAACTGCTATTTCCTCAATGTGTAAGAAACACACCAAAAATTTCTGAGGCACAAGTATTTAAGAGTATTTGGATATAAAAGCAGCTCTATTTGGCACAAATAAAGAACACTCAGAATTCCTGACGCATAAAACATTAAAGTGTCCTGAACTGTGAAACACTAATGTTGCCAAGTGATACCACGGCGTTCTATTCTAGCTTTTAGAAAATCTAAAAACGTCTACAAATCATGAAGACATAAAATTAAATAAATGTATAAACAAACTAATGAATAAATAAGCTTAGGTTTTGTACCTGCTGACAGATCAGCTAAGCCTTGTTCTCTGCTAGCACTGCAATCAACATTTTGCAACATTTTCCTTTGTCTCTAGAGAAATGAGCTGAAAACAGCAAGCATGAGGAAACCTTTGCAGAGCTCTGCAGTGTTCTGAAGTACATTACAACTGGGAGAGCATATGAAACTTCTGTGACTGAACTTAACATGCGATTTGTAAATATGATTCAATCTGACATTGCTTCACCTTGACATGACCTTGGTCCCTTATTTGTACCAACCATTTCTTAAAACACCTTAGTAGTATGAACCAGTTATAGCAAAGAGAGTTGCAGGTTGCAGGGGGGTGCTACTGCTGCGTTATGTAAAGTTTGGATGCTAGTTCACCAAAGGGCTTTTGACATGAGTTAACAGCTACCCACCAATCAATACAAATCGCTAAACCCATTTTTAATAACAAGAATCAAGTCTCTTCCAGGTATTAAGTATTAAGAAAGGCAGCTTTCTCTGGGTAGCAGAAATGGAACAGTAAATAGTAACTCCTAGAAGTAGGAGCTGTTTCACACAACTCTACATATTATTGGGGGTTTGGGGTATTTCTAGTTTTAGTTAAAGACAAGCACTTGGAAACAACTCATTACAGAAACATTTATGAACTGAACCAAACATGGAAGCCCATTTTGAATGAGAAAAAGTCCCAGGATCAGACCAAGTTTGAAGCACCAGAAAAACAGATCTGTTGACAGTGTCCATGAAGCGGATAACCTTAAAATGGGTTAAACAAAAATGATCAAATTAACAAAAAATAAATTGAGAAAAATTAAGACAATTTAATGAAGGCATTCTGGAGCAAGCAACTGCATGTTTTACATAATTGACTTTGCAATCATATAAACAAGAATTTAGCAAGGGAATGATACCTGTCCAGTTCCTCCCTCAGCTTCTGATTTTCCCCAGTGGTTATTGCATTTGATCTCCTCTCTTGTTGCAAAGCCTCTCTCTCAGTTTTTAAAACTATTTCCAACTCTTCCAGTTCTGCCTTGTGTTTCATTAAACTGTTGTACCTGCAAAAAGAGGCGCAGCATACTCTTAGCTTTCATTTAAGTGGTTTTCTTCCTCTAGTTTAAAGTTTCTAATAGTTAATAGGACAACAAACAAAGGATTTTTTTCTCTGCCTGCTTGGTTTCACACATCTGTGTGGTTAATGATTTTTTTTTTTTTTACCTCTGGTGGCCTCTGTCAGAGTCTGTGACAATACACATACACTAGCAGAAGCCACTGGGAATGCTGGTGCAGGGAATGTCAAAAGTCATTGTCATATTTTCCTGTGACTGTAATAAAAGGATCTCTGGGCAGATAAAGCTGTGCCAATCACAGAGAAACATCCTTCTAAGCAATTTTAACACAGCAACTAGATGGGAAGTGCAGCCCTGCTTGAAAAAGTTGGGGAGAACAAATATCATCTGTCTGTGACTCCCACCCCAGCGGAGATGAATGCAGAACACAGTTACTCTGCAGTCACAAAAACGCCAAAAATAAAAGCAGTAGACAGCACCAAAGACACTGACTCCAGCCAACTTGTTTTTCTTTCAGGCTACCATTCCCTTCATCCCAGGGTCAAATTACAGCCTGTCCCAAATTCCCTTCCATTGAAGTGCCACACAGAAAAGTACCTGTCTCCTAAACAAAAGCTGCTTTTTGCTATTCATTCCCAGTAACAGCAGTGGAGTTTAATTAACCTTATTTATTTGTTTTATTCCACCACTCAGCTCCAGCACATTACAAATTCAATGTCTGTACAACAAATGGAAGAACCTGAAAGCCAAGGAAGGTTTCATATCCAGCTCCAAGAAGGATTTAAGACAGACTGCATGCCAATCCAGAGCTTGAGAAGACAGTCGGTCCCTTGGCAGAGATTATTGTGGTTGCCTCTGCAGAAAGTGTGTTGTGAATTGTTTTGCTAATTATTATCTTATGAGGCTACTCTGTTAATTTTTACTCAACCATCTATTTTTAAAAGAGGGCTGCTTAGAGGGAAGCAGCATACTGGTCATGTTTCACCACCTTGGCCCACCTCCACATGCTGCCTTGAGCAGGAGAATCCCTCAGGCAGACCACAACTGCTCCCCTAGGTATTAGGTGAAAGGTAAGAATAGGCTGTCTGCAAAAATGCAAGTGAATCTGCATCTCTGGACCCCTACATGAAGTCCTCAGGTGAAATTTTCTTGTAGTCTTGATTCAGGGTGAAGTGTACCATCTGAGCAAGATTTGTGCAACCTGACAAGCTCTACCACCAGAGGCAAAGTTACCCATTCCTGTAGGCTGTTCCACACTCATATTCAGTACACTTCTTTAAGCATCAGGCATTTGGACAGAGGGGTTTAAAAAGAAAATTGTTATGTATGCAAATAAAATTGATTTTGGCTGTGCTGCTCTTTGCTCCTTTTGGATTTCACTCTTTCTGCTGCTTTGTCAGGAGAAATACTGTTGATAGGTAGTTGTGACTGAAAGAACTTGGAAAATGCTCAGCTATGGTAGAAAGCATGCAGCAAAAGGAACCCAGGAAAAGAATTACCAGCCAGCACTGGTAACAAATAATACAATTCCCTGCAATATGTAACCCTCCATAGCAGGGATTCTATTTTCCCAGTGTCTCTTCAGGATTAGACTTCTCCAGAGTAAGCCACAAAGAAATGCTCAAGGATTTGCTAATCAGCCATAGCTACAAAGCTATTACCTACCCTTAGTTACATGCAATACGTAATTTTAAAAATCAGCAAGAGTCCAGCCTTTCTATGTTCACTGAGACAGTCAGCTAAACACTGCAAAGATCAAGAAACTGCTATTAATAGTAACCGATCCTAACATCCTAACTCTCTTCACTTGGTCAAACCCACACGCCTGTGGTTTGCTGGTCTGTGAGAGACCATTTCTCTGCAGTTACACACAAGCCATTATTGAATCCCACTGCCTTGCTAACACTGTGCAGACAGAGCTGAGGGAGGTTTAATGACTTTTGCTCAGGTGCACAAAACAGTCTGTGGTTAGAACCCATCAGAGTGAACTACATAAGCCCTGGGGACCTTGGCTGTACACAGTGTGAGGAATCCACAAGCTAACTAAAGTCGACATGCATTTTTCTAGACAAGATGCAGTCACAAGTGCAGGGGTGCAATCCTGCCTTAAGCAACAGAACTACAGTTACAGTGCTGTCATCAGCTGAGAAAAAAAAGTTTCCTCAGAGTTGGGACAAGCAAAATCTGTCTCTTAGACACTGCACAGGCAAAATTTTTGTTTGCACGGAGCTGCTCTGAGAAAATTTAGCAGGTGGTGCATTCTAGATGAAGTTGAAAGTAAGGTATTTTATCCTAGCAGTTAAAATACCTCAGAGTGGCAGAAGAAAAGTGTTTTCTTACAGCTGTTTCTCTAACTTTCTCTCCTCTGCTCCCCTCAACCAGCTGACCTGCACAGAACACATGATGGAGGGAAAACAAAACACACCAAAAAAACCCAGTTTTTTGACAGCCAAGCGAAGACACAGGCTGTCCTTGGACAAGCCACCTTTATAAGTATCTTTTGAGACTGATCTGCTGAGAAGGACACTGCACTCTTAGGACTGCAAAAATCAGCCTGCTTTCAATATAGAAAAGGCCACCATCTGCTCCCCTTGCAACATCTCTCACTTCAGTCACATCTCAGTAACAGACAGTCCAAACTGTTAATGTTTACAATAGTGATCTGAGCATTTATTACTAGAGATAACCTATTTTTAGAAAACCACTTTTTCCTTAGGCTACAACTGTTTAATAATTGGCACCCATCAAGAAAAGAAAGAACTCAGCAAACTGCCTCAACACACCACAGTGTGATAATCTCAAGCAAAGCCTGAAATCAATGGGAACTATTAATCAGTCTGAGAGAGACTTGGTAAGCAGGAACAGTGTCTGTGTAATCACTTACAGCTCATTTAGTTGACAGCCAAGCAGCTGTCCTGTCACACAGCCCTGGTGGATATTTTAATCACAATAGGTTTATTTCTGTACTTCATCAAAACCTACCACACACTGCACACTGTACTGCCAGCTCCTTCAAATTTGGGGAAGAGAAGTTCAGCACCAGTTTCTAGTTTGTCCTCAAAGATCACTACTGAGATGCTCTGAACCCTACTCATGGTCTTGCACAGAAACTGAATGTCAGCACAGATACATTGAAGAAAATCACTGAATGGCATAAGAAAAGTTTTCAGGGGTAGGAGAGCAGCATTTATTTAGTAGTACATTACTATATTGTTTGATCCATGCATAATTGACAGCAAATGACAGTGACTAGAAACTAAGCAATAAACAGATTACTCTGATTTCATTATTAAATTTAAGGTCTTGAAACAAAAGCCTGAGACTGAGTGAACTAGAAGAAAATAAATCATACATCACTATCTTACAGCTAGCCCAATATGGCTTCCTTCAGAGAGCCTTCGTCGTAAGGCTGATGCCATACAGAGTCTTCAATGATTTAAATTCCTCAAGATACACACTACTCACACACAGGTAACTATCTAGGTGACATACAGACCTTACTGTATGACTAGAAAAGATACCCTACAGAGCAGAACTGGGAGAATCTTCCTAAGGAACCATGTTACTATAGCACTAAATGTAGTAAGAGCATTTAAGGTACTTCTGACAAATTATTCGCAAGACCCAAGCCCATATTTGCTAAATATCACCAGAGTCATCTGTGGTCTGCCAGCTTTAGAGGTCTAGAATCTACAGCTTTGCAAATATTCTCATCTAATCTCCTGATGAGAGCAAGAATGAAAGGTATTTTCAGAGGAACAACTTAGTTTCCATGTAACTGAAGACCAACATTTAAGGCTAAAATCTTAACATGGGCACATTCTGGCTACACTACACGCCTGAGCAGTGAGCGTACCTCTCACCCAGACCTTTGTGCTCCAGATCCAGGTTTTTGTGTAATGCTTTCAGGCAGCTGTGCTGGTTTATTAGCATTTCATATTCTGCAGACTGCCGTTCGTGCAGTGAAGCAAGGTGTTCATGGTCCTGAAGCAACGACTCATACTCAGCTTTCAGCTGCTCCTTCTGCTTCAGTAGATTTTCATTCTCATTCTCCTTGGCTGTCTGCTGATTTTGGAGTAAAGTATTCTGAGCCATCAGTGAAGAACTCTGGGAGCTGAGGGTTGAATTTTCTACCTAAAGTTTCTCAAATAAAAAGCAAGTGTTACTTATTTACACCTACTGGCACATATAACAAACATTTAGCAGCAGCTTGTACCTGTATAGAGTTAATCAAGAATGTATCCATTGCTCTCTAGACATAAGACATCTCTGGACAATCTGGCATCAATTTGGTATTACTGCTAATAGTATGCACCATATAAAACCTTGCTATCAGCAGTCCTGGGAGCTGATGTATGTTCTTCCAATTTCTTCCTCTCTCTTTCACAGCCAGACCATTAACAGAATTAAAAACCAAAGACCCTTTATTCCAGAAGTGCAACATACGGATTTTACTGTATTGATTTAAAAATTTTATTCTCTAAATAACTACTTAATGCAGACAGCTACCAGACATAAGCTACAGAGCAAGCTTTTCTCCTAGCCTGGAGAAATTCAGACCTCCAACTGAGCTGCACCTTACAGGCCTCATCATTACACCATTACACCAGCCTACCAATACAAACATTTTCTTAGTCATCTTCTCTACACTACTATAACCAAAATCCAGTCTCCTGGCACAGAGGCACAAGATTGTCCTGACCTGGAGCTTGGCCGTCTGTGTCTGCAGGGCAGTGTTGTGCTCCTGAAGGAAGACGTTTTGCTTCTGTAGTGTCAGTATCTGATTGTTGAAGGAGACATTCTGTGATTCCAAATGCTTCAGCTGTTCTTTAAGCAGCTGCTTCTCAGTATGCAGGGCTGCATTCTGAAAGAAAGATGGCATTGAAGGGGTGATAAGAAGAAATGAAACAGCTGTCCTGATCATTTGGAGTCCTATCAAAGATGAGAATCAATTAGCAATGAACATTCTGTAGCAAATGTGCAAGAGCAAACTCTTCCCCCAGCATTAAATGAAGGTAGGACAGATGTTATACACAGGATTAATCCCTCAGTGGTGTTATACAAGACAAGTATAGCATTAAAGTCCCAAGCAGTTCTAAAAGATATCCGAGGAATTTGGTATTATGTGCTCCAGAAAATCTACCAGATTCATATAAACTCAAAAATCTAGTTCCAAAAAACCCACTTATGATTGCAAGGGGAGTCTGAGAGAACAAGAAATAGGAGAAGACTCACATTCCTTTCCAGTTCAATTGCCCTGTCCTTCAGTTTCAGCAGCTCCATGGTAGCTTCTCGGTGCCCAGTTTCCAATTTCTCATTCATTCGGTGGTTAGGAATTGGTTTCTCTGCAGAATACCTCAGTGACTTCTGAGCATACTGCCCATCCTGTTGACTCTGCTTAAGTGCATCAAAGTCCTTCTTTACCTGCAAATCCAGCAAGCAAGAGCCTTCAACACTGATTTAACCACAGGATTTGATATCAAAAATCACAGGATATGCAGTTCCTCACTTTCGCTGTAGGGACTTTAAGGGATTTCACAACCATTACCCTTACTTCACAGATAGGGAAGCTGAGACACGGGTGGATGAACCCACGTTTCTTGGCCAAGAGTCAAGTGCCCTTTGACTCAAGTTCACTGTCACCTAGAAAACAGGCTGTTCTTAAGAGAGGTGTTTCAACTGTAGTCTTCCTTAGCCTATGCTTTCATTACACAAGGCAGAAAAACAAAACCATGGCAATGAAAAAAGATGCAAAACCAGATCTGCAAATAGTGGTTACGTTAAGAAAAAAACCTCTTGCTGTGCCCCTAGGCCAACAATTTTTCTGAAGTTGGTGCCATTATATAAAAATGGACAAAAAGAAAGCAGTCCTGTCAAAAAAGGTTTTGGGGAAGTATGTGTGTGGAGGGTGTGTGGGCAAAGTAGAGATAACTTGTTCTTTTAGAGCTTTAAAAAGAAAAGGCGTGTGACTGCAGGACCACATTGTGAACAATTAAAATTCAGTTAACTTCTTACCATATTTAGATCATTCTGTAACTGCTGGTTCAAGTTCAGAGCATCTTTCACTTGAGCTTCCAGCACCGCAATCTTCTCCTCTTTCACAGCTAGTGTTGTTTTCAGTGCTGATTCAGTTCTGCTCTCCAGAATCTTGTATTTTCTGAAAGGCATGAGAATAGCTGTCCAATGTCTGCCACAAGGATGAGCCACCACCTACACAGGAGACTTCACCTATTCTGAATCTCACCACATGTTACATTATATGTGCTTGCTTCTTCAGGAAAAGCATTTCCTCTACTGCCACAGATCACTACTGGCTGGGAAATCTGCTTTTGGTAAATCCAACCAGTTTCAGTAGATGTAACACCAACATAGTTCTACAGAAATAGCTAAGAGCCACATAACTTATTTTCTTTTAAGTTTTTCCCTTTTCCCACTAATTACATTAGAGAACTTTCTTCTCGTTGCTCTTTTGTACAGTCCTGACAAGGAGAAAAATCCACAGTAGATTCTAAAGACTCCTACAAGATGGGTATGTTTCTCTAATTAGGTCTTACCAATAGCCCTATATACACATGGGTTGTTGGAGTTCTGTTGTTACTTGTTATTGTTTATATTGTTATTTGTTATTCTTTGTTATTATTTTTTTATTGCCAAGGAATTTCTTGCAATCCAGAATTTCTTAGACAATATCTATGTTTATATTCACAGGTGACTGGATCATTAATTACATGAATAATGACAGACACTGTTTAATAGACACTATTCTTACTTGTAAAGAGAATATGAGGAGGAGCACACACTGAAAGAGCTCTGCCAGGGAGCTAAGGGGGGACTGTAGTAACCCTGGCTGGCATGGAGACAGAACATGGCATATCTGCCTTTCATCGAAGAAAAAGTTTTGCAAAACTTGCATTATACTGCCGAGCTTGATACAAAAAAAATATGCTTTTTGTCCAAAATTGGTAAGGGTTGTTGAAGGCAGATGAGAACCAGAGGGAAAGGCAAAGGGCTTAAGTTAGGCTGAGGAAAGGCCAGCAGAGTCAAAAGAACGACTACGAGAGCTCAGTTTCCTTACGTGTCATCATTGCCATTGTCATCCTGTAGCAGCAGCTCTTTGTTCAATCCGATCTTCTCCAGTTCCTGGCTCAGTTTGTCCAGCTCACTAGACAACTGTTGACTCTTCAGTTTCTCCAGGACCAAATCCTGTAACAGCACTATCAGGATTAGTTGCTCTGCAAAGAGTGGTGATAATTATCCAGCAATATAGATTTTTTTTAAAGTACTGAAAAAAATCATTGGATAAAATCCTAGTTCCAAGAAGGTCAGCTAAAATTCTTCATCAGTGACAGCTGAGTGCAGATTTAAACTGATTGCTTTTATTTATAGTTTATTAAATCTGAAGAATGCTTCTTTTGGCTTTTGTCTTGCTCACTGTACTGAATTACTGCTGTCAACACCGGCATTCTGCCTGCCTGCCAAAAGTGGGAGCCTGTGCAGGCCAGGAGACAACCTGCCCTTGCGCCACAAAAGGGACATGTGCAAGTCAGGGGACACCAGCAGAGGGAGTTCCCACCTCTCAGCTAGGACAAAAAACCCTGCTGAAAAGCCCTGCCAACACTGGCACACACAGAAGTGACAGGACTTCAGTAAAAAAGTTCCCTGAGGTGATATGCTTAAAATGTTATTACCAAGGGACTTGGTAAGAGTGACTCTGAGTTTCTGACATATGGTAAATTAACACCAAAATTAAAAATGCATAATGACCTTGTCCTGTAAGAAACAGGACAGCTCTGGAAACTAGACTGTGGTCACTTCCTCTGCTATCTACCCCCCTGCTCTGGTTTCCTTTAGGTTTCTTTGGAATAAACTTAAGCAGAGCCAGACAACAAAGACATACAAGGAGGATATCTGACAGAATCATACCTGAAGGTTCCAGAGTTTGACAACCCAAACAAAGTGAAAAATTTTTTCCTAATATCCCATCTAAACCTCCCCTGGCACAACTTGAGGCCACTTCCTCTTGTCCTATTGCGTATGACCTAGGAGAAGAGGCCAGCACTCACCTCTGTACAACTACCTGATAGAAATTTGTGGAAAGTGATATGGTCTCCTCTGAGCCTCCTGTTCCCCAGGCTAAACAGCCCCAGTTCCCTCAGCCACTCCTCATAACACTTGTTCTCTAGGCCCTTCAGCAGCTGAACTGTGCTGCTTTGGACCTGCTCCAGCATCTTAATGTCCTTCTTGTAGTGAGGGACCCAAAACTGCATTCAGTACTCCAGATGCAGCCACACCAGTGCCAAGTACAGGAGGACAATCACCTCTCTAGTCCTGCTGACTACACTATTCCTAATACAAGCCAGGACAGTGTTGGCCTTCTTGGCCACCTGGGCACACTGCAGGCTTATATTCAGCCAGCTGTAGACCAACACCCCCAGGTCTTTTTCTGCCATGCAGCTTACCAGCTGGTCTTCCCCAAGCCTGCAGTGCTGCGTGGGGTTGTTCTGATCCAAATGCATGACCCAGCACTTGGCCTTGTTGAACTTTATACAATTGGCCTCAGCCCATCAATCCACCCTGTCCAGGTCCCTCTGAAGAGCCTTCCTACCTTCAAGCATATCTACACTCCTGCCCAGCTTTCTATCATCCATAAACTTACTGACGGTGCACTCAATCCCCTCATGCAGATCACTGACAAAGACATTAGAGAGAACAGGCCCCAGCACTGAGCCCTGGGGAAAACCGCTTGTGACTGGCTGCCAAATGGACTTAGTGTCATTCACTACAACAGTTTGGGCCCAGCCACTGTTCCACCCAGCAAAGAGTACCCTCGTCTAAGCCATGAACATCCAGTTTCTCCAGGAGGATGCTGTGGGAAATGGTGTCAAAGACTCTACTGAAGTCCAGGTAGGCAACATCCACAGCCTTTCCCTCATCCACTAAGTGGGTCACCTTGTCATAGAAGGAGTTAGTCAAGCAGAACCTGCGTTTCATGCTGAACTATGCTGACTGGGCCTGAACTCTTGGTTGGCTACTGTACTAGTCTTGCTAAAATTATTTATTTGATTGAGCTACCACAGCACCAGCCATTTTCCTTTAAATGTTCTTTCACAGGAAATCCTGTTTCCAGAAGGACAACAGCAGCTGGGGCAGGCAATGAGAGCAAGCTGCAACAACCTGAATCTGCTCGTGGGCCACTTACAAGAGCGTCAGGTTCTGGCACAACATCATTACTTTGCCAGTGTCCTAATGCAAATTGTGTATTTTTTAAAAGATCACTTCTAGGAAAACTGCAATTCCTTCATTCTGCAGAGCAGGAGGTGCTGGAAGACATCATTGCTGCCAGACATCATTGCTGCCTAACAACAGAGCTGATTAGAATGTTCTTGCTCTCCAGGGAAGCTTTTGGGGGAAAATGCTATAGGTAGTTGTAAAGCAACATGTTGGTGCAACTGTTAGTGAAAGGCTTAGGCTGGTCATGTGGGATGGTTCTTGCCTTAGCCAAGTCTGTTTCAGAACAGGGATGTTAATGTGTCCTCAACAAGTGTTCTGATTTCTAGGCTTAAGAGTCAATCTCCCTTGCTGAAGCTCCCATGTTAGCAAAGAATTTTGTGGTCACAGGGTTAGAGTATCAAAAGTATCAAAGTCTTTGGTTTACAGCTATCATGTGGGAGCTGTGTTAAAACCCTATGCTACCTGAAAAAAAAAAAAAAGTCACTGAGAGAGGTTGTGGATACAAAGCAGAGCATTGCGGTTTGGGCAGGTTCTACTTTCCAAGGCAACATTACCCAGTGATGGCTCTAAAGACTGTAAAGATATCCTAGCTCATGTATTAAGTAGTCTTTGGACAGATGTCTCCCCTTTGGTACTTCACAGAGCTGAAATAAAAAAGCACCACAGTGAAAACACTAAGATTATTCTGTTTACCTCTCTCAACGTAGCTAGTGTTCTTTTATCAATTGTAACTTGCTTTATGAGATCTTTATTGTCCTTTTCAAATTCTTTCAGCTTATTAGATGAATCTCTGAATCGAGCTATTTCCTTTTCTAGTGTCTTGTTTTCTTTCTCAGCAACTGCCAGCTTTACTGTACTATCATCCAAAATAGCATCTTTCAGCTCCACTTGTTGCCAAAGTCGTTTTGCTTCTTTCTCCAGCATTTTTTTATCTTTCTCAAGCTGAGACATTTCTTGTTCTAGGGCTTTGTTCTCCTTTTCTAACCTCTCCAACCGTTTGGCAGAAATCTTTAGCTCCTCAAGATTTTTCTGGAGGACCTGATTTTCACTCTCCATTCCCTGTACTTCTTTTTCTAAGTCCTGGATCTTTTTGTTGCTGTTCTCCACGATTTGCTGAAGTCTCTGGTTTTCAGAGTTGACACTCTGATAGCTTAGCTCCAGCCTCTCTGACTTCTTGCTCATTGCTTTTAACATTTCCACATTCTTTCTTAAGTCCTCTTTCTCCCTCTGCAAATCTTTATTTTCTGCTTCTATTTGTGCCATTTTTGTGCTGGTAAATCTCATAGTCTCCACCACTCTCCTAAGCTCCAGATTTTCTTCATCCAATTGCTTGTTGTCCCTTTCCAGGTCCCCAAGCCGGATAGAAATGTTCTGCAGTGTGTCCAGGGATTTCCTCAGCTTCCTATTTTCCACTTCCAGATCCCCATTCTCCTGTTCAAGAACTTCCACTTTTTCTGCCACTACCTTCATTGCTGCTGCCTTCTTTGTGAGCTGTTCGTTCTCCCTCTCCAGCCGATGGAGCTCTTTTTCCATTTCTTCTACTCTTTCCACTTTTTCTTTAACGTGGTCAAAATCCTTTTGCAATTGTTTCTTCTCAAATTCCAGCTTGCTCAGTTTGCTGCTAGTCTCTGTAACTGTTTCATGAAGGATCTTGTTCTCTTTTTCAATATCTTTCACTCTTGCCTCACTGCTCACTTGAGATCTTTGCCTCAGAGATAAGACCACTTGATTAAGGTGATCATTTTCTTGTTTAAGGTCCTTTATCTAAATGAACAATAAAAAAGTCGTGCAAATATCAATCATCTACCTTACGAAGTGCAGTATAAACTACCCTCAAATCAGACAGAGGACTGTTAAGAAAACCACATTCCTCTAATCCAAGACACATTTCTCAACAGTTTTCCCTGACTGAAACCAACAACCCAAACTCATGAAAAAAACTGATCTCTGGCAACCTGTGATTCTAACAAGTTACAAGTAATGCTGTCTCCCTACTACTGGCTAAGAAGGTCAAGGCAGAGCAATAAAGTAGTCACAGGATACCTTCAGAGAACACCTTGGAGAAAATGCTTTCTTAGGAATCTTTCCTAGTAAAGGGTATCTTTCTGTCTAGGTTTACATTCATCTTTCAGATCAGAAGATACAAATTATCTCTGATAAGTCACCAGAACTCAAAAATGTTTGAAAATTTCCTGCAGTTACAGCTCTCATTAAGGATACACTTTCTTTTAGAACAGTGCACTTACCCCACTGGTCAAGTTTCAGCTGAAGCAACTGTGATTTAGACTGCAATTTGCATTTGCTTTTTATCTAGACAACACTAGAGAAATCAAAAAGGACTTAGACCTGAAAAAAAAATCAGAATCTGCCCTTTTATGATGATTAAGGATACTTCTGAATTTACTTCTTGCCCTACCTGGGAAGCTTTCATTCTTACCACAAAGAGTCTGTATGTGTTCTAACTGAAAAGTAGGGCTTTGGTGATAAAGTGCAGTTTCCCAGGTAGAAGTCTAGGTAAAAATTGTTCAAGATAAGAGATTTTGTTATTTAATCTTCACACCACAAAACTTGAAGTAAATTTTAATACAGGTTGAAAATATACAGACCAGTATAATGATCTGTGTCTGTATTTTCTTTATTAGTCAAATACAGACGATACCTTGCATAAACCTGTAATAAGATAGTTTCAAGGCATTGCACAATCTGCAGCACAGTAGTAAAAGCTGAAGGGCATTTAAAATATCAGTCCAGAGGATATAAATGCTTTCCTCGCATCTTTTTTAAACAGAGGAAAAAAAAGGCTGAGTGGCTAAAAAACACCCTCCAACTAAACCAATCAAGACATACAGCTGGCAGAACAGCAATCTTCTGCAATAAAGTGGGCTTTTATTTGCACATCCTGAAACTAGTTGGTGTCCCATTTAGTAAGATCCAGGGCTTTTCTCCCCCAGAGAGAGAAGGTCTGTCCTTGCAACAGCCTGAAGATCCTCCTATAGTAACAGTGGCAGGAGCTAGCAAAACATGCTGGGCTCTTTTACTTCAAGAGGCCTTTTGCCTACATTTAAACAAGTTCAGCCTGCACTTAATAGCTCTCAAATCGCCCTATCTCCCCGAGAGAATCAGATGCTCTAAATGGTATCAAACTACCACTACTGAGCATATACTTTTATATTACATTTGTGAAGTTTGCACCTGTCTGTCTTTGTCAGCTTTTAGAGTCTCCACGATGACTTGTAGCTGTTCTTTATCTTTTATCAGCTCCTCACTCAAGCTCTCGAGATCTTGATTACTCTGCTTCTCTTTTTCAATTTGATTTTGCAACTTCTCAATCTGTGTAGAGAGAACATAGCAAAACACAACAGCCTCAGCTTGGCACAATGACTGTTTGCACTGTAAGTTATTTTGAAGACCAGAGAGGAATGAGATGGGGACTACAGCTGAAAGATGTAAGCCTTCCTTTCTGCAGGAACAGAAGAAAAGCACTGGAGTTTCCAAGTTTGTCTTCCCTCTCCCTGAGTTCTGCTTGCCTTCTGTTTTTCCCAGCAGGTGACAATATTTGATTAAAAAAATTAATGAATGAGGTCCCAGTCCCCAGCCTTACTCCCTCCTCCTAAATGTTGTAATGACAATAAAATGAATCCCTAAAAAGCAGTAGCTCTTCAGTACTTAGAAGCAAGAGGTGCAGAGATGTAGGCTCCCCAAGTCGAAAAGTATTTCTTCTAACACTTATAAAATACTGAGTACCTACAGCTCTGCACAAGTATTAGCTCTTTTTTTTTTTTTTTTTGTACGTTGGTATTATGAACTCTGTCAACAGTGAAACTGCTAGTGAAAAAGGTATTAAACAGTAATTCTTACAAGTGGGAAATAGCTGGAGGCTGGGCAATGCCTATATCAACATGTGGCTCATTACAGGAAGTGTTTAAACAAGCAGGGGCTACCCAGATTGGAGATAAGAAGGGCTTAACAGTTAGAAATGTAACCATGTTAAGGTTCATTGGTCTCAAAGGAGCTGTTGAGAGAGAGCTGGAACAAACTCAGTAACTCAGCAGTAGCTGGTCTTCATTAGCACCTCCCAAAAAACTGGCGACAAGTGAAAAACTACTGTTTACAGCTTTTTTCAGTCCAATAAGTCAGGAATGCAGAGAAAACTACTTGACTGTGCCTGAAAGGAGAGTTTTCTATTATTAGCTCCTCTGAAAACCTTGCAAGAAAGGAAAAAAGAGGTATGACTTTTCCTTCCTATAATTTTGTCTTGTACCTGGAATAATCCTGCTCTGGCTACATGATCCTTCCCAGCACTAGATCAGTAAGATAGCCAAGCATACTCAAAGAACAATTTTTGGAAGTCTCAGACAGTGGATGAAATCTGACTTCAGTTAAACAACTTTATGGAGGCAAGATTTTACTAGGGGCATCTCAGGAAATTTTAAAAAAAAAAAAAAAAAAAAAAAAAATCAAACCCAAACCAAAACCACAGGCACAGAACACTTGTGAAAAGCACTACTTTATCTGTTATTCTATTTATATGTGCTTGCCTTAGAAGTCCTTAAGAACTGTTGCTCTCTCCTTCTGCCTACTGTAGGAACTGTTCTGCAATGAGTCAGAGACTTCCCCTGTTATCACCCTTTCTCCTAGCACGCCCTCCTGTGGACATGCACACTCTCTAATTAAGGGGATACATGTGTGAGAGAAATACAAAAACATGTTTCAAAAACCCCAAAGCAAAACAAATTCAAACATCTCAAATCAAGATTATTTTACATATCATGCAGCAGGTCTCTGAATGTCTCACAGACTATAGGGTACTGTCTACTATCTTTTCCTCCAGATCTCCCTGAATGGGAGGTGAAGTCCATCAACAACCTGACTGACCTGTGGTATTCAGTCAACAGCTCAACTGTTTCTCTGGTGAAGAGTCCATTTCATTTCAATTGCTCTTAGCAGTATTTTTACCTGCCATTTTTGGGCTGCTATATATAGTGCCCTCTTTCACCACATAAGCATTCCCATCTACTGTTTTTTTTGCCTTATTTAACTACCAGACCTGTAGGTGACCCCACCATGTCAAAGCATTCATCGTCAAAAACATCAGACCAATTCCAGAATCACAACTGTTGGCACCAATACAGTGCCATAACAAGAGGTGCCCACAGGAATGTGCTTGGGCCAAAGCCAAAGGTTGACCACAGCTGTTCAAGTGACTTAAATTGCTGCACACCACAGGTATCTGCTGAGCACTTTATATGTGTTGATCTCAAATTCTAAGTATGTAAATTAGAGCTGGAATGAATTACTCATAAGCAACAGGTCATAAATCGGAGTGTGGAAGCAGAAATACGGTGATCTGAATTTTCCTTGATCACAGAAGAAAGCCAAGAAGCAGAACCAGTCTTTCAATTTGGCAAAAGAATCTCTTCAGAACATTGAATGATCTAGTGATGGGTACCTGTTCTCCTTGGCAAAGAAGCTGGCACTCTGCTAGCTAAAATCTGGTAACCCAGGACCAGCATTTCATATCCAGATTCCTTCTCCTCTTGTCCTTTAAAGCATTCAGTTAGTCCATAGGCAGGCCAGAGAGACTGAAATCTTTGTGTCAATGTCTCACAGAAGTTACAGTAGTAAGGGGGAAAGGACAATGATCCTTATATTCTGCATAAGGTAGGAACATGGAAAAAACTGACATAGACATTTTCTAAAACTCAGGCTAGTGGGCATCCTCTTTCTCCACCAGCACTTGACTCAATCAGAGTTCAGGATGCAAGTTACCAGCCAGACAACAATACAGTTAGTGGTTGGAGGTAAACTGAGCACACTGTGTCTCACAAGGACAGGCACCAAGCTGGCAGTTGAGCTAAGTGTAAGCACAGGTAATAATAGTGTATAACGCATGTATATATAAAAATAAATTTTGAAAGTGATGACTTGTGTGTTTGTTACAAAGGTTAAAAGAACCCAGATCTTTGCAGAGGGAGACACTAGAGGACTTCTAATAGCCAAAAGGACAAGAGGAAAAGAGAGAGCAGATCCAGGACTACAGACAGCAAAAAAAAAAAAAGACTTATTTTAAAATATAGTAACCTGAATTCACCTGTGTGATTTATTTTACTTGCATGGTAAAAATATCAAAACTTTCAAACAAAATATTACAATGTGGCCATGGCTTCCTTGCCTAGTGGTGACTGCCATAAGATGACAAAAAGTGACACAATCAACAGTACAATCTGAGAATGGTACACAAGCACTGAAAGACAGCTTTTATGAAACAGGAACAATCACTTTTGTTTACAGCAATGTACAGAAGTACCAGTGGAGTGCAACAGAATACACCAACGTTAGAATGCAGTTAAATAGGTGGGCCCAAAACCCTGCCCAGGCTTCTGGGGCACATGGGTGAATTCTTTGCAATC